TTGCTTGATGACAATTTTTCGTCCCTAAAGCATCACCCAATCGTTATATTATATTGTATAATTTAGTACTTGTACATTAGGCAATTATGTTTAATCAGTCCCATTGGTAGCTGTTGTTATCGAACTTGGAATTTGTTGAAAACTGGTTGAGTTTGATCAGTGATGCATCAATAAAAGGGGAGAGAGCAGATAGAAACAATGTTGTCCATATGATTTAAGTATACATGTGTTTTAATATTTGTTGCTACAACCTGTCATGTTTAGAACAAGTGGTTGGAACATTGGTTTTTACTTGCTATGAACTCCATTTTGAACCAGCTTCTTTAGAATACACCAGAAAACACCATTGCATCCAACTTGGTAGACACAGATGATCATTCTGCCATTCATGAGAAATTTTTAACCATATGAGCCATGCCTGTCACAGTGTGTGTGTGTATATAAGGGTGTTGACATGATCCGTTAACACGAACACAATACGAAATTAGAGAATTTGAGTCTTTTTTAAGTCACTTGTTTGATTAACGAGTGGATCTGGCATTGTACGATTAACAAACAAATCAAGAATGGATGAAGTCAATTAAAAAAAATATATGATATGATTCGTATATATTTTAGTTATACAATGTTAATACATAATACAAATTTGATATGACACAATTTGTTAGATATGAATTAATAAATGAATCGAGTATGGGTAGAGTGTTTTTTATCGTGAAGACACTAAGATTCGATACGAATTTGTCTCACTTGAGAGGAGAGGGGGGAGAGAGAGAGAGAGAGAGATTTCAACAGAGACACCGGTTTGCAGATAGAAAGAAAACAAAAAAGAAGTACAGAGATGGTTCAAGGAGCTCACTGGCTCATACTTCTTGAATTAAGTAAACAAATGACCAAAAAAAAAAAAGAACTAAATAAAGACAACTTCACACATTAGAAATCAAACATGGAATGGAAGTGGAAAAATCCTTCTGAAGGAAAGACAAATTGACCTTTTTAAATAAGAAATTACAATCTTTACTTGTACATTGCTTGAGTTGGAGGAGGATTCTGAAATTGTCGATCCCGATACACCTTTCCTTGCTGTTCAGCTTGGATCCCATTCCATCCTGCAGCAAATTTGCAAAGATGTAAAAAAACAAATCCATTCCAAAAAATTTCAAAGCACTTCGTTTTTTTTTTTCAACGGTTAAAGTGTTCGAGATTTGTTTAATTTTCTCTCGAATTTGGTTAGAGGTAAGTCATTCACGCCGAAACTAGAGTATTCAAAAATTTACGCACACCTTGACTACCACTTAAGCTACCCCTTAGGCCGCCGTCTGTCTTACAACCACCTAAAAAGGAACTATACTGATCTTGAATAAAAATCCTACATCAACAAATAGAATCCCCATAAAAATATCACTAAATCGAGCACTAGTGATTTTGTATCCGGTCAAAATCTTGGCTAATTGATCGAAGTGGATAGCTCCAGTAGACCCATAGATCATGGAACAAATAGTGTGTAAGCCTAATCACCACACTACATGTATAGACGCAAACCCCCTCGGTTTAAAGAACTTCATTTCATATGGCTTCAAAGCACTTCCATATTGGTTTTACTACTAGTTTTCTTTTTCTTTCTTCTAAATAAAAAATAAATAACCTCCGAATGAGTTCATGAAAGGTACCATAGCTTTTACAATTTTTTTTTATATTTAAGAATCATTATTTTTGGAATGGTTATAAGCCAAATCTATAATATAAAACAAGATATGCTTCAATAAGTCTATTTGAATAGATTCATTCAACGACTTCTAACATCTCTCTCAAAATCATTCACATTACACCTTGCCTGAAGGCATGGGTTACCCCTAGTGTGGAGATAAACCAGTATCAGAGAGGAAGTTCAAAAAAGCAATTCTCTTTTATTATTGGTCTCTAATATGTTTAAAGTTCTCCTCAATAATAGAAAAATGCTATTTCTACCTAATTCGAGTACCTAATTCATTGTAGCTATTGGATGGAAAGTGAGTCTCATCTAACATTAAAATTTCCACGATTATAATGAAATTAGGTCTAAGTAGCATTGCTCTAAATTACATACACTTATCTGTTTCTAGTGATTGTTAATTCAAACATTCAACCATCACTTGCTTCTTTTTCACATAATATGCTAGATTATGTGCCATTTAACCATATATCCTTAATGATTCATGGAGAAAAAGTTTGGAAGACATGGGTAATTTATACCTAAAGCTGGATCAAGTCCTCTGTTCTTGAGCTCTCTGAACTCTTGACAAAGGGAACAACATGGGCAAAAGAAATGAGAGATCACATCCTCGTATGGTGCTTCCACCAATTTATATTTCTTCCTCAGCTTTGTTCTATACTTTGAGCCCATGATCCACTGAGAGCACAGTGCAGGCATCATCAATACATAAATGAAACTCCCCAGAGGACAGGCTGCAATCACCCATTAATCATCAATTAGCTGTTGTCAATCGAAAACTTTCAATATTCATCAAGCATAAGACAGGCAAAGTACTACAGAAAAGCCATACTCAGTTCTCCCTCGTCCAGTACCTCTGCTATCTGACCAAACGTCACACAAGGTAAAAATGCTGTCATAACCGCTGCCATGACAATTAATCGAAGGTAAGATCAACTCAGTTTTCGCTATACAATAAACTAGCACTATACTACAATGAAGAATCGCGATGGAAGCCTTAAAGAGGCCCAAAAGGCGGGTTTGTGTTCATCAGAAACACAAAGCAATAAGATATGAGCAAAATATGTACATAATTATTAAAGAAAATAAAAAATTACCATTTGTTTGGTGCTGATCGCAGTCAAACAATCCAGTGCTCCAGGGTATTCCAACTGATGAACTCTCTTCTGCTTGGTAGTGTGCCGGAAATGAACCAGTTGTTGGAGGGAAAGAAGCTACTGGTTCACCAGATTGTGGAACTTCTGCTTCCTCGGTGCTTGGGATCCTACCCATTTGATCAAAAACTGTGATTTGGGGTGGGTCTTACTTTATATGAAGAAGAGATATGTGCAGCTGCTAGGCTTTGCAAGTATATTATTGTCTTGTAATCCGACTCAGAGATATAGATAATGGAAGTCTTTTCCTTTATATATCATCTTCAGAGTTTGTTTGAGGGATTGAGCCTGAAAATTTGAAGGAGACTTTTCATAGTTTTCAAAATCAATAGCAGGAGGTAGGAACCTTCATATGAATTCTAATTGTAAGGACAAAATGGAGGGGACCCATAATTCTCGAAGTCTTAGACCAATGTATTTGGTATAAACTTCCAAGGCTAATCTAATCCAATCCCATCCAAGTTTTCAATTCATACTTGGCTTTCTAAATTTGCTGGCCATGGACAGCTAATTTCAAGATGTATGACTTTGACATGTGTTACAGTGCATTGTCATCATGTAGATGATGCTGCGACTCTGCTCTTCAGTTGACCAGACGAATAAGATCATTGTGCAATGAGCAGCCAAGGTTAAGGTACTCTGTACTCAGGACTCTACACCCGGGTTGGATACAGATTGATTTTATACACAAATGCACGACGTCTTGCTTATTTTTTTAACCTAAACGAATGAACGCTTGTCATCACTTATTTTGAACTCTAGAGTTGATAAGGACTCAAAACTAGGACAGAATATCTTCCTAATCAGAATGTTGTGTTGACTTTCCCGACAGTAGTAAGCAGATGATACATCTTGCTATTCTAGGACTCAAATGTAAGCGGTTTACCAACTTTTAAAAGTTAGGTACGCAGACAAAAGGCAAAGAATGCGGCTTCTTATCATTTCACACACGCCCGCAGAGAGGAAACAAGCAGGCAGTGTACAGAGAAGTCGAAATGGTTGAATAGGCAAGTAGTAAAAAGGTCTTTGTCATGACCCAGTCTACATAACTGGGGACGGAACTTTTGAACCACGCTGGTTCTGAATCTAGCTAGCCTCTCAAGGCCAAGTTCAAAACTATACCCATCTACTGAGCAAGCGTGAGTCAAAGACACGCCATTGGTTAATCCACCAAAAAGAGTGAGGACTTCTAGCAAGGTTTGATTTTCCTGTGCGGTCAATGGGATTCATCACGAAGAAGAGGAAAGATCAATGTAGTTGCAGTCTTGCCAAAAATAATCGATAAGTCGGTAAGAGCTATCTTATGGTACCACGAGTGGAATTCACTCACCACGTTGTCTATTGCCAAAATGGTAATGCAAAATTGCAAATCCAATCAATAAGCAAGAGGAGGAATATTGAGCTCATCCAATTGATAATCAGATCAATCATAAAAAATATAAATTTTCTCAAAACATACCAGGAAAATTACCTGACACAAAATCATGCTATACAACATTACGCTCTGTAACTAAAATGCATAGAAAATCAAACGCAGTGTGTTCTTTGTATATCGCTACTCTGACCACTTCATGGAGAAGGCGAACAAAATTTTTGAGAGGACCAAAACGAATTTGATATAAAAGATATAATTGTGAACTGTACTGTTGGTATTAGTACAAGGCTTGAAGAGGCCATAATAACAAGTCATTTTATGATGCTGCACCCATAGATGAACTCAGGACCTGGATCTGCAGACGTATATGGACCAACATGAGTATACAAATACCAAAAAAAAAATGCTTGCTAAATCATTAGCTGTCAAGAAACAATGTGTATGAAATTGTAGGACATAATACCTTATTTACAAGCAAGTTTACTTGTTCTCTATACATCTCCTTCAAGTCCATAATATCAGCACGAAGTTCTTCCAGCTAAAGCAGCCACTTAAACTTATCAGCATTTCATTAGTAAAACAATAAATATCTACTTCACAAAAATAATTCAATACCATTGTTTTTGTAAGATACACGTGCATCCAGGAGGATGCAAAATCAATGAAAAGTTTTAAAAAAAAAAAAAAAACACATATACAGGTAGGCCTATTAATGGACCGAATTTCAGTCCGAATCCTATCCAAATCTGTTTAATCGGATACAGACCAATATTTTCATCCGTTTATCCGAATCCGATCTGATTAATATATAAATAATACATATATATAATAATTATATGCAGTGATATTCAATAAGATTATTTTTTAAGTTGTCATTAATGTTAAATTTTTGGTTATGTAAAACCTATCAAAATTAACTTTAACATGATACATTACAATATTATCTATTTCCAATTAAATCTAGAAAACTGACTCAATTTTGTCCAATTAATTATAAATAGTGATCAAATAATGATAATAAACAATTTCACCTTAATTTTATGGATGAATCACTTGTGTACCACTAAATGCCAATTTAGTTTCATTAAATTGTCAATAATTTCAATGCAAATTCATCACATAATCAAAAAAATAAAACTCAATATATGCTCTACTACACAAACAACCCAAGCCATTGTTTCAGCTCAGTTAAAATTTTTTTTAATGATTTTGAAAAAAAAAAATGCAATTACTTGAGAGTAGCCGCCGACAAAATACGATGTCATGCACATAACACCCTTTATTACCCCCTATACTTGAATTAATGACTATCTAGCATTTTGGGACTTCCTACTACTTCTTTGTCTCTAGAAAACAAGTATTGTGATATTTTTAGAGGATCATTAAATTACATATAATTGAATAATTTCACAAATAAAATATCTAAAAAAGGAATTTTGTCCAAAAAATGAGGGGGGGGGGGGGCCCTTAATAATTCTGTCACTGGTTATATGTATATAATATATACATATGTGTGTGTGTGTGTGTGTTGATTATTTATAGTTGATCAAAAAAAAAGATTAGTTGTTGAATTTTTGGTGGAATATCATTACGGATCGGATCGGGTCAGGTCGGGTAATCGGATTAATGTCCGATTATAAAAAAGATTCTAATATGGATTAATATTTTTATATCTGTCGGGTAAACAGATCGGATTCGGATAGACCCAAATCCAGTCCGAAACCGATCCGTTGACAGGCATATATACAGGGTTCATAGGCATCATTTCCAAAGGCCAAAGCCTAAAAGATTCGTACCTCTTCGTCACGTTCCCCCATTAACTCTAGTGCTGCTGAGTGCCTTCGCCTGAGTGCATCTAGTTCTGCCCGTATACCAGGCAGCATGGCGGCCTCTGCTTGTAACTTCTCACACTGCACCCAATGTTGGAAATCTTCAGATGAATGATTTGGGAGACATATCAGGGTATTATATCAAGCAATACTCACCTGCGCAGTCATTTTAACCAACTCCTCAGCAAGAGAGTCACGAATAGATTCCATAGATGCCTGGAGTGCATGAAAACCATTATACTTGATGGAACTCGAAAGAAGATAAGTTGTAGAACTTAATGTGATTACAACCAACATTGCAGACACTTAATTCTGCAGTCCAATGTGAGGCGCAACACAACATAATAGTGCATCGCACCAAATAATGGTTAAATGGTAGTTTTCATACCAATCGAGACATGTAAGATGCCAGTTCCCCCTCCCTTTGACGAAGGGTAGCTTCAAAAGCACTTGGGGTCATGCTCTTCATATAATATGGTGGTATTGTTGTCTCTCCTGGATTTCTCCGTCGAGAGAAACTATCAGATGAGTCTAAAGATGCCTGCAGAAAATCACTTTCCTCCATACTGCTCAAGCTGCCAGCACTTGAAAGTCTGCGAGTCAAGTATCCTGCAAAAAAAGATGATTACATAGAGGAACAAAAAAGGAAAAGCATGCCCCTCATAGTAGTAAACTGGGTAATCAATACCATTCTCAACAGCAGACTTCTTTGATATTGGACTTTGATCAGCTACAGCAGAAGATTGAAGGCGAGCAGTCCTTTCCAGTTCCAAACGAGCAGCTTTCTCTCGTTCTACCTCCTGACGACCATCAGGGGCTTAAATTTGGGAACTTGTATATGGCATGAGAATTCACACAGATATGAATGATAGCCAAAATGTCAAACAAAGGCCTTTGTTACTTCTAAGCACCCAGACAAATGAAACTGACACATAGGAAAAGCTTTTCTAATACCTTCCTGCAATGGATTCCTCTACCTTACTATCAAACCAGAAAGATCAGGGTCAAGAAGAAGGAATCAAGTAAAGCAGGAGCAGAATTTTCACAAATTCTTGTTAGACCAGTTGAAGTGCTTCATTGTTAGCTACCTGTAGGGTTAGTTGAATATGTTGTAAATGCAATTTTCAATGATCACTGTAACCGGACATTCCATAGTGGGGTCTTATGGTAACACACAAGGGGTGACTACGTACAGGTCATCCCTCCCCCTTTTTTCCGGATCAAAAGGATAAAAAAATGATCACTGTAGCAGGGCAGACAAAATGGTATACACAACATATACATTCAAACGGTATTTCTTTACTCACGATGGCAGTGTAGAAGCACCAATAGTGGGTGAACAAAAATGATGATTGAATAAATGTATTCAATAGGTAATATACATGGAACTGTGTTAAATATTTAGAAAACACTGGAAAAAGAGATGAATTAGTACATAAATTTTGAAGGTCATCCACCGTTGATTACATGGGGATGAACCATATATAAAAGTTAAAAATCAACGCAGTTGCCATATCATATTATGGCCTTTTGTTTTGAGTGATCGCATGATCACGGAAAAAAACAACAAACTTTTACAATAACTTGCAATTTAATCTCTAAACAACACTTCGGAAGTGTGCAAAATTTTGTAGGTAAGTAAAAGATTGAAATCACTGTCTTTGGTGCACAATGCAAATCATCAATGGTTTCATGGCTTTACGACATACAATTTAGAGTCAGAGGTTTAGGGCAGAATTGGTATTTGGTAGCACTGACACTCTTTCAACAAACATGGGAATTGCAGGTTCTACCTGTCGCAGAAGTTCTTGGTGCGTCAATGCTTCTTGTAACACTTGCTTGTGTTTCCTCCTGAGTTCCCTTAGCTCTTCTTCAAGCTGGTTTACACGAGCTTCATAAGTGTCAGATTCTTCCTTTAATGCAAGGTACTCCTGCCTATTTTCTGCAGCTTTCTGTCTCTCCTTTTCAAGGGACCTAGTCAGCTGAGTCTGCTCAGCTCTAAGACATGAAATCTGCAACATCTCACTAGCATAAGTTAATGATTATATTAAAGCTCTGTCAATAGTACCATGGTGGCCAGAGAAAAAAGAACCTGAGCTTCAAGAACATTTGTTCGAGATAACGTTTGAGACAAGCGTTCATTTATGGATCGCTCTTTTTCCTCTGCAGCTGCAGCTTTGGACTCTGCTTCCTGCTTATATAATTAAACCTATAAATCATAGTCTAAAATACAAGAGCCACGACTACAGAGTATAAGGTGTGAAAAAAACCTGAAGCCGTGTGTTTAGTGACCTCTCCACAGCAGCCCAAGCTTCGGCTCTTCTGGCAGTTGTTTCCTGTTATTCGTAGAGAATGGGGTCAAGCCAGGACTACCAGACAAGTTTGTTTAAAAATAATAGTAATTCTCAACCAAAAACATGTTAAAGTGTCGAATAGAAATGGACCTGCATAGCTTCAATCTGCCTCAAAAGAGGCCTAGTAGATTCAGGAACCTGTGTTATCAATTCCTCACATCGGCGCTCACTTGCCTGGACACCAATTATTGCGACATCAGATTACAATGAGACATCAATATTAACACAGTCAAATATAAATTAAAAACATAGTTGACGCCCGATCAGAGGAATCCAAGGCATACTTGATATCGTTTTTGAAGATCCTCAATGTCTCTGCACAGCATATCTTCCCTCAAAACTGCCTGAAACATGAAGAAGATTATATAGAGTACGGCAGATATAAAGGCAGAAGCTGCAATCTCAATGTTACAAACAGGAACCTGCTGCTCCTTTCTGCTCAGAGTTTGCCGTAATTCTTCAAGCGTCTGAACTAGCATAGTTTCACGTTCCTCAGCCTCTCTTAGACGACACTCTAATTCAGTTCTGGCTTCATTATTGGCCCGAGCCTCCGCTAATGCTTCGGCTTCCTTTGCTGCATTCAAAGCATTCGTGTAATATTCTTTTTGACTTGCAAGTTCAGCTTGGTGTTTCTCTATTGTTTCTTGCAGCAACTTCTCAGTTGAGGCCTTATCCCTCTTTATACTGTCTACTTTATTCTCTTCAACCTGCAAATGGTACAAAACATATGCATAGTATTACTTACTATAAGGAAGAAATAGAAGGATAGGAAAGACAAATCCTGCACAAAGCATTATGACAACCAAATATGATAGCCAATAAAGGTGAAACATATGGTAATTGATAAAAGACCATCAAAGAATCCTGGCTGTAACATCTTCAAATTATAAGGACCTAAATACGATAAGGAAGAACAATATAAAGAGTTGATCAGTAGTTCAAGGGAAAGGTGCCTCCCATGCAAGATCAGGTTGTTCCATACCTTCCTACATGTGAGGATAGAAGTTATAACATTTTATCAGTGCTACAGACAAATTGATCAAGAATCAACGACGACAATTTTATCAGCAGCTAAAATTTTGAGGTTTCCAGCAGACTCTGCTGCAGATCTAACAGTCCTCATGAAACAAATCTCCATAACAGCTAAAAAAAGTTGCTGTCCATATTCTTCGAGTCTAACTGGTGTTATTTTGCAATCGCAAAAAAAAAGTCGTATAAAAATTATGTAACACAAAAAACCTGTTATAGGTCCCAGAACAGAAAAACAACCAAGGCCCAGTTCTAAGCAACTAAAATTGGACTACCAGAGTAGCGAAGATGGTGACTTCTCGTGGATTGCTTCTATGAGACCCTCAAGATTTACACATCCACAAGCACCAACAGACTAACGGAGTGCAGATATCTGCTTCCAATATTGATAGTTCGGAGATCCTTTAATATCTTTCCTTGCAAATACATTACATAATTGCATCAGGCCTGATATCCTAAAAGTATGTTCCTTAGAATCCAAATCTTACCAACCAAAATATAGAAGTATTTGCACCATATGTTTGACATCTGATCTGCCATGCCATATCTAGTTCCCAATTTGTTTTGGGACTATGTTATTGCGTCATCTACCAAAGGATACGCTCTATATCTAACAAGATTTACCAGCAAACTCTTCCCTCTATTTCTGTAGTCAAACCTATTACTAATCTGACTCAATTTGAGCAACTTCCCAATTTTGGGTTCCCAGGGGGGAGAGAGAAATTATCATACTGCCACAGAGGTTTAATACAAGGGTAATACAGAGATTCTTTTAAGCATTATTTGCAGTACTAATACGTCAACTATGGAGATAAGAGACCCTTCCAGGCTGATGGGACCATAACCATGTCCTCAAGGTGGGAAACTCAATGTCACTTACTCAAAGACCGCACATCTTGTTATGATTCTTATCGGGAACAACATCAGTTAGATAGGCTATGCAGCTTCTAGCAGCCATCATGAAAATTCTTTTATTATCAACTAGGTTATGTATATTTTGCGGACCTTAATTGCAACTCCCATCAAATCTCATTGATAAAACATCAAATAAAATTTGTGGAAAGTTAAAGGAAATGGCAGATGAGATAAACAAATTGGAGGAGCTAAAAAACACAATTTACCAGCCCAGGAAACACAACAAAACCAGGGGAATGGAACTTAAGGAAAAATATCTCGACAATTTCCCGCAATTGGAAAGAGGGCAAACTTATTATCTTCCATGCCTTTTTGGCTATGGGATGCCAAAGAATAATACACTAATATATGTAATACAAAATCCGTATGATCTGAAACTGAGAGAAAAGGAAACTTCCATGGAAGTGCTGTAATTAATGGATACCAAGAATTCAATTACCTGTAGCTTGGTAGTTAATCCTTTCTTTTCCTCTTCAAACTCTCTAATCTAGCTTTCCCAAAAAGGTAAGAGATTATTATTAAAAAAGGTGTTAAAGGAATAGTATTCACTTTCAATCATGAGACACTGTGCACTGGGTTGCATACCTGTGCCCTTAATTTCCTAATCTGAGATTCTTGAGCAGCTTGCTTTTTTGAAAGCTCTTCACCTGCAAAAAGGATGAATATTGAGAAAGATGATCAACGTTTGTACAAGTACCTTGTTACTCTTCTAAAGAGACTATACACCTATAAGAAGTTAAATTCAGATTGGAAATTTCTCATAGGGAAAAACAATTTGGCAAGTACAAGATGGATCCAGGATTTAAACATAGAAGGGGTGACCACCTAAATTTTTGAAACAAAATTTGGGTGCGGGGTAAGATTGTGCCATTTGAGAATAATCATAGCCAATGATACTAGCAATGGAATTCCTCAAACCTTTGACGAAAAAAAAAAAAACCCATCTTTGTGGCTTATCAAAACTCCATAATCTAAATTTGCTCAATGTTACTAGGAGCGTACAGCAACTGTCCGATTCTCAAGCTACATGAACAAAGATGGAATATGCATCTTCATTAGATGCACAAAGGCATCAACACTTTGCCACTTCTTTAAAAACCATAAAGTCGCCAGCCCTTTCACTAAAGAATTGCTTCACTTGTGCAGTTTAATATGATAGAATGTGGTGATATGTTGAAGTTGTCAATTACTCGACCACTACATGACAATTTGAAGTTTAACTCCATGTCCCGAGTCTCTTTGGTCCAGCATCAAACCTTTTGCTGCAGTAAGTCCCTCATCCCCATGTTTTTTAGGGACAATTAACAATGCAATGAACCCATGGAACCTACCATCCAAGCAACACACATCCAACAAAACTGAAAACAGTTGAAACTTATTAGCATGAAGCTCCGCCTCCATTCTATCCTCCACACGCTAGTAGACAACAATGCCAAACCATTGCCCTCACCCTGTCACACAAGCATCAAGCCCACAATACAGCCAAATTGCCATCAAGAAGATGATAAGGAGTTCTTACTCCAGAGTTGCAACTGCAGCCCTCGCCTCTGCAGATAACTCAAAAAGTCAAAAACTAAGCCTCACTCATGCCCTAACTCCGCGAACCACATTTTACACTCATGAAGAAGGACCAATTACTTTACATTAACTTGTTAACAAGAGGTTCCAGCTTACCTTAAGCCAACAAAATGCAGGATATTTGTTGTGTTTCTTAAATTGATGGGCAGTTGAAAGTGTTCTTGTTGGGTTGCCAGAATAGAGGCCTACTGAAATCAGGATTGCTCAAATTTCAAGCGTGGCACTTACCTTTAACTAATACCAAGGTAGAGTTGGGAGGGCCGGGGGGGTGGGGGTGGGGAGGCGATACCTGTTTCACAAACCTAGCTATGCACCTTGCCAGTTAACTAATCACTATAACCACTTTTTATATGTTCTCTAACTTAACTCTATTCAACAAAACCTAAATTTGAACTTCTTTCTTGGATGATTCATTAATTATAGTAGCTGGCATAAAAGTATGACACCCTGACAGTGGTGGTCCCCTCTTCATGGTTGTTTCTTTTTATTGCCTCAAAACACAAACCTAACTAATGGAATCTTCCAGATGCCCATCAAATAAATAAAGAAATGTCCCTCCGGCTTACATAAACAATGGAATATTTTAAGCAAGATATAACCCCCCCCGCCAAAAATAAATAAATAAATAATAAAGAGATAAATAGAAAAAAAAAATTTGAGCGTGCATTTACAGGATTTCCACACCTTCAGCCATAACCTGATTGATTATTTCATCTTTTTCCTTCAGAAGAGCAGCGGCATCACTTTTCTTACTCTGTTCTCTACGTAATGTATCCCTTTCCTTAGTGAGAGCATAAACCTGAAATTGCAAATGCCAAAATGCTAGCAGGTTATATACAACAAGATGCATACTGCACTTCCAAATAAGTGAAGGCAGACAGACCACACAATGCAATTAAGAAAGCCAAATGATCAATACTGTTTCCACAAACTGACAACAATGACTCACCCACACAAGTGGCGAACGAATACTTTCATGAGAATACATATTTCTTATGAACCATATTTCATTAATGGCAAAAAAATAGAAAGCTCACACAAGATGCCAAAATTAAAAATTATCATTTCAATTACGAAGAGAATCCCATAGAATAAACTAACTGAATATTTTTTTTACTTGCAATACTTCATATATACAGTCCAAATTAAAAGGGAAAAAAACTGACATATCAATTAACTGCAAGCCAGGGGCTGAGCTCAGCACTCGCCCACATGACTATAGTAAAATTGCTATGTACTTAACTAATTATAAAGTCCTTTGTCAATGACCATGGCATGAAAGGTAATTCTAAAGAATGAATGGCACATGACAATACAAGCAGTGTTGTCAAAAACTCGCCTAGGCGAGAAGTGAAGCGAGGTCTTGTCACCTTGAGCACCCCAAGTGACTGAAGCAAGAAAAAAGTGAGCGCCTTTTGCATAAGCGGCAGGCAAGAAAAGTGATGCCTTAGTTTTTTAAGTTGCTTTATTTTTTCATACACCTGATTGTACCTTATCCCAATATATCTAACACTCAAACCCTAAATTTGCCTAAACAACGGTTGCTGCTTGTTCTCCCCTTCTGGAAGAAGTCCCGACTCCCTACAGAACACACAGACAGCTTAGGTTTGCCCCCTTTCTTCTTCTTCTCTACTATTGCTTCTACTGCTTCTTCTCCTCTTCTTTGCTTCTTCTTTGATGACAGAAAACACAGCCAGTACCAGATCTGCTGCTTCTGTCTTCTTCTTCAACAGAACACAGGTATGTTATTTTCTCTCCTTCTCTACTTCTCTTTTTCTGATTCTGCTTCTTTTGGTTCTGCCTTTTCTCTCCTTCTCTTTTGCCACAGGTTCTACTTATGATTCTTCTTCTCTGCTTCTCCTCTTTTGCTACTGGTTCTGCTTCTGTTTCTGTTACTGCTTCTGATTCTTCTTCTCTGCTTCTGCTTTTTTTTCTACTTCTTCTTCTCTGCTTCTGATTCTGATTCTGTTTTATTTTGGCTGGGATTCTATGTTTGTGTTTGTGTGCTTCTGTTTTATTTTGGCTGGGATTCTTCTTCTCTGTTTATGCTGATTCAGAGTTTTTATCAAGTGAAACAACTTCGATATTTATAAGTAATTAAATTAAAATATTTGCTTTTTTTTTTAGTGTTTGCTTCGCTTCTCGCCTAAGGCATCAGCCATCAGGAGACTTGTTCGCTTCAGTTCACTTTATGCCTTAAATAACACTGAATACAAGTACAGTCCCATTAACAATGACAGCATATCAGTTAAACCATACCAGGAAAAACTGAAGAACAATTTCTGATCAGAAAAAAGTTAGACATAATAAACAAGTAATGCTTCTTAGATAAACGCTGATATAATTTTTAACAAACTTTAATGTTCAATGTCCAAATGTTGAGGAGATAAGGTCCATGATCTAAAAAGTTCTCATATTAAAATCACCATTCAACAAATAGGTCAGACAGACTACTAAGCATCACAAGCACAAACATTTTGGGCATGGATGAAGATGCCACTTAGCTACATCTAAGTCCGGTCCCTTGCAGACAGGACATTTGAAAAAAAGGAAAAAGTTACTCATTACTTCAATAACAGAGATGCATGCAGATATGAGCAACAAGAACTTAAATTAATAGCTTTTTGAATTATATAAACATCCACATTACTGACAAAAAGTTTCAAATCCATGCCCACAAAACATGTTGCATCCCATAACACAGATAGACATTCAAATCTTAAATATGTCTTGTTGCATCATCATAAATTTAGGCTTAAAAAAACTAAAAATGATGTGAGAAATGTACCTTTCTCTCAAGAGCTGCAACCCTTTGGTGGTACTCCTCTCGGAGAGACTCGATTTCGGCTTCATTGGATTTTCTCTGTTGATTGATTTTCAACAGTTACAAAGGTGAATACTAATTAGTATATGTGTGTGTGTGTGAGTGTCTTTATCTTGGCAAAGAGAGAGAGAGAGAGTTCTAATATGTAAATTTCATTATCCCCATTAATGTAAGTTAACCAAACAATGCAGCTGCAGACAAATTTAACATGAAAGTCGGAACAATAACTGGGAAAAAAAAAAAGAAAAAAAAAAGAAGTAAATAAGCCCTGTCAGTAGGTGGTCAAAAACTGACCATCTTTCCCAAAAAATGAAAAATGAAATAGCAGACAACCAAAGCATTCAATCAAAAGTTGATGTGATCTTTATCCAATCTGGCTTCTTTTCTCACACTTAGCTCCAAGCTTGTTTCCACCGGCTGTTTTTGAAGTTCTGAGCACTCTTGAAAGTAATATTCCAACCATATCGATAAAAATAGATGACCATAAAACTTCATCCATCCTGAACTGACTACCAAGTCTTCGCCTCCAAGCTTCCAAAGGCTGCTTTGGGTTGCATATACTTCCAACGTCCTGGCAATTACCCTGCATCTTTAGAAAACTTCAAGCACTTTATTGAAAATGTTTATTTGGATATCCAAGCCTTTCTCTTGCTCTTTTTCCTACTCTTACCCTTCTTCTGTCTGAAATTGGAATCTAACTGGTCGTGGTTTTATTTTTTTTTTTTCAAAGTAATTTCCTCATCTTGTTCCAATGAGTATAACATAGTTTGTAGATCTCGTTTAGTGTTTCTTTAACAAAGCAGCAGTCATCCCACAATCAAAAGAAAAAAACCCTTGTCTGGGAGAGAGCTGATAAACAGAAGGGCTAAGGAAGCCTCCATTCCTTCCCAACCATTATCAGATATATACGCAGCCCTACCCTTTGTTGCTGAGAGGTTATCAAGCAACCTTTTACTGCAACACCAAGACCCACATGTGGTAAAAAACCATCATTGCCAAAATAACCACCACAAAGTTCAAGGTCATCACACATAGGCCTTCGCAAAGATTGTTGCAGAAAAATCACACAAGGCTACAAAACTAACCGCTGTAATTTTATAACCACCCTCCCTTAAACACGCCAACCACTGCCTTTGTGCCATTCAACAACCTAATGCTTTGGAAGAACCATTGGCATAGGGACATCCATCAGGGTGCTCCTAAAATTACACACCTATTTCCAAAGTTTTGCACTGAAGTTATTGCATATATATTGCTATTGGATACATCTGCATTTAGTTAAGATAATTTCTTAAAGAATAGAAGAAGAAGAAAGATATCTCACATAATGGAAAAGAAATAATATATAAGACATAGTAAAACAGGTAATATAAAAATAACTGAATTGAAATTATATATATGTGTCATTAGGACTTGTTACCCCATATGCACCACTACCATAATTGATAAAAGGACAAAAAGAAAAGAATCGAACCATCCTCACCTTCAGATCCTCAATAACAGCTTTTAGCTGCTCGTTTTCATTCATTAACTTCGCAATTTCATCAGCTTTTGCCTGTAAATAATATGTGAGAGTGACTAAATTTCAGAAAAGGTGTATGCTCAATGAAAATAAGCACAAGTACTGTAATGGCATGTCTCTGCAAGTTGCTGAAAGAAGATACACAGCTGCCAAATTCAAAGCCAAAACAGGCATGAAGAAAAAAAGGATCTCACATAGGGGTTAAAAGGTTTGCAATTACTCGCATCTCTTTTTGGAACAACAATACCAGATGTCCCTCTGGCACACAATTTTCCTTCATATCCAAAAGTGAAATTTCAAGTAAACTTCCCCAAAGTAGCATCCAATTACTCAAACTCAATCACCTAATCAAAATAGTTGACATGCTTTTATAGGTTTCAGCTTCTATTGACATGGACATTGCAGTCCGAGCATTTACAGTTTATAAAAGGGAAAATGGTGTGGTGGTCCTACAACACTGTTCCGAAAGCTCAACTAACAGACTTGAGAGACCATGCATTGGGCCTGAGGCTTCAGTGTCATTTGTCCAGTCCATGAGATAATGGTAACAAGTTAAATACCTGAGCTTGTCTAGCAGCTCCTTGAAGTGCAGTTTCCATCATTTTCACCTCTCTCTTCACATTCTCTAGTTCAGATACAGAATCCGCAATGTTGGGTGAGTTGCTTCCTGAACTCAGACGATGTTCTTTTATGTTAGTATCAAGATCACTTGCTTGTTCGTACACTTCAACAGCTTTAGCAATTACATCTTTTTCATGTGTAACTGACACAGAAACCATCTCTGAAGCCTCATCTTGATTCTGTACATCCGAAGAATGGTTTTCAGAATGTTGCTCAGCACTTCCAGTCTCATCAGATATAGTAGAATTTGAAATAGGGGGGATTGTCCCAGCTTCAGCTTGGTTATCAGTTGATTCATCCTCGGTCTGAATTGCAGAAACTTTCTCGGCAATCTCTTCTTCTTGTATCTCCGGCTCATCTATGCTCTCCCGCAAATTCATAACACCATGCAATTCAGGCACAGGGGCATTGCCCTCAGCTTGACCTATAAAATTTGTTGACTTGGCATCCATTGTCTCCGAATTTTCAAAAGATCCTGCTTCTGAGCTCTCCATCTGTTGGAGATGATCTGAGGAATCTGACTCCTCAACGTGGTCAATATTGGGTTCAGATAACTCGAGAGTCACCAGCTGAGAATCAGCTTCGGCTTTACTATAGTCTGCAGCAATGGTATTTGTTCCCTCTTCAATGGCATTTATTGTTCCCCTCGTAGGGTCTGCATGCATATCAACTGTCATTGTTTCTTCATTTGCTTCTTCGGCGGCTGAGGTTTGTTGAAGAGCAGAATTAGCTGAGCTATCTGTCTCAACTCCTTCTTTGTCCTCAACAGCAGATGCAAGCTTGGACGCTTCTTCAGGTTTCTCATTTGATTCAAGAGTAATTTCCTCTCCTTTATGCCCCATAAAGGCCATGACAGGGTCAAATAGTGCTTTCCTGTCTGTAGCTGAAGGCCATAACCCTGAAGCTGATATGCATAGAGTTTGTTAAGAAATTAAAATTAATAAAAAAATCACCATAATTAACTCTCATAAAAAAGGTACTATATATGATTTGGATAATGGCCATTCTCAGATGAAGCTAACTGTATGACCATTAAATGGATACTTTTTCTGTCTGTATGCTTCTACTTTGACTAGTGTCTAGACAGACTGGCAAATGTACGCAGTTAGCAAGTTAGTTGATTAAGGCGTCCAGTCTCTTCAGAAGGCTTAAATCCTAAAACAAGTGCACTAGATTTTATATAGGTTGTGAGTTTTTTTTTTTTTTTTTGATAGGAAACAAATACGTTATATTGAAGAAAATTTAAAGTATATCGAACAAGTTGGATAAGAAATCCAACAAATGAAAAAAATACATGCAAAAGAAAAAAATCATCAAACACAAGAAGCTTCCCATCCTACCAAAATAGAAAACATAGGAATTGCTTTGAAAGCCGTAGAAACCGAGGTCCATAACGATGCTATGAAATGAATATGATCCCATAAACCAATCACATCCTCGCTTCTATCTTTGAAAATTCTTGCATTCCTTTCTTTCCAAATAATCCAAAAAAAGACCATGAGAACACAATTCTATAATGTCACCCTTTTTTCACTCCTTCCAAAGCCCTTTAAATCTTCAATAAACAAAGAATATGATGACAAAGGAGGCACCCAACTCAAACCCACCGAGGTAAACAACTAATGCCATAAAGACTCAGTAAAAAGACAATGTACGATTCAGTGATCAATGCTTTCAGAAACACCTTTACACATCACACACAAGGGGAAATACAACTTTTATGTCTCATTTTCTGAAGTATTTCATTGATATTAATCTTACTATGTGCAACAGTTCATGCAAAAACTTGCACTTTAATGGATAATTTGGCTTTCCAAATCATGAAAATAGGCAAGAATAATGGACATGAAGAATCATCAATAATAGAAGCAAAAAAAGACTTGCAAGAGAACACCCCCGATGACTCACAACCTCATCTTCTTTTGTCAATAAACTCATGACTCAAAAACAACATTAAGGACAGCAGTCAAAGAAATAAAGTCTCTCATACTCCAATCATCAAGATTTCTACGAAAACCAAAATACCACGAATATAGATAATGACAAGACCGAATCATAGAAGCAATAGAAACATCATGATAACAAGATAACTGATAAATGCAAATCATTAGCATTCAGCTCCAAAGACTTCATGTAAATGAAAACCATTTGCATAAGAAATAAGAAAAATGACACTTCGACAAAGTAAAATTTGTGAAGTGTCTGTGATGGACATGACTACGTAAAATTTGTGGAACACCCATGAAGGACATGTCATGTGGACAACTACAATGTAAACCTTGAGATATCCCACACTGAAACAAAGCATGTTTAGTATGCGCATGATGAATGGTTCCAGGACATAACATTTCTAGAATCTTGATGAAGAAATATGATGTCTCAACATAAACTGAAATCACAATCATTGCAATTGTGAAGGAGACATTAAAATTCAGAGCAATGCCCCCTATTATTCAGTGCCAACTAATGGCACTCTCCCTGAATAACTGAATACTAACTTCCATTATCATAATCTCTTGAATATAGACTCATTAAAAGTTTTAGGATCAGTTCAGAGAAATGAACCGGCAGTCAGATCAGCTAGAACCTACAATATAATAATCAGCATTTTGCTAAGAGTCCTTCAAAACTGAATTATTTCCGAACAGTTACATTTTAATTGGCCTCACCCAGTAATGGGCTTAGAATCACTCAGCTGAACCATTTTTAATTCCCACAGGCAGCAAATTGCAATGTGAGATGCTGCAACTAGTAATAAGATAAAGTTAGTTTACTTTTCAGATCAAACATAATTCGTATCTGAATCTGAGCGAAGTGGTTAAATGGTGTTCAGCTTATCTTAGACTTTTGCTGTAAGCTTGTCTTCTTTGCACCTTAAATATATTTCTATAACTACAAACCTCAAGAGAGAGAGAGAGAGAGAGAGAGAGAGCACGAAAAACGAAAAGGATATGTATACCTTCACTGCTACCGGCGTCGGAATTCTCGGACTTCTCCTCGAAACCAAGAGCGCTATCGAAATTCTTCTCAATGTTCTTAACGCTCTCACTGAACTTATTCACAACCCCAGAAAGATCCTGCAAGCCCCCAAAAGAGACTTTCCCACTAAACCAAGCCATCTTCTACAACAACTGGATCAAGCACTCAAACTTGCCAGATCACACGCATCAAGAACCCTACAAGAAATCAAAAAAAGTCGATCATAGATTAACAAAACAACTAAATAGCTAAGAACACAGTCATAAGGCATTACCGATTTATCAATTTGGAAAGAAGAATTGGCAATGCTAAAGATGTTAAACGTAATACGAAGATCTATATGTACGTCCGTAGGTAAGCAAAAAATGAGAATTGAACCTTGTGGAAGATCCGATTAGGGACGATTAAGTCCGGCGAAAGCGTCGAGATTGTGAATCAAATTTGAGCCAATTTCCATTAGTAGGGTTTGAGGAGGTATAGAAAGATCGAGCAGAAAGTGGCTGGAAAGATCGAGTCGGAGTTTGCATGGTCGGTTTAACTCTGGCGAGGTGGTTTGTGCTGCAGAGGAAGTCCATGATTTCACCAATTCGGAAATTTTGTAGTAGAACGAGGCAGTGTTAAACGCCGCCGTTTTGGGGGTCCTAATTTAAACAATCTTCATTATGCAAAATTTATAACTGGTTACCACATAATTTATTCATCTAATTTCTTCGTACTACTAGATGATAATTCGGTATGCTAATTGGCTGGGGATAAAGCGGGTTTGTGTCGGGTCTTAGCTGGTTCATGTAAACAAAATACTTCAGTCATACCTGATTCATTTATTAATTTATATTTAATGAATTGTATCTTATTGGGTTCGTGTCATATATAAATCGTGTATAATTAGTATATACACAAGTTTTGTTTTATATTTTTTTTATTGGATTTACACATATTCAATTCGTTTATTAATCGTGTCATATTGGTGGTTTAAACAAGACTCAAACTGACGAATTTCGTGTCGTGTTTGTGTTGTATTAACGGGACGTGTTATATTTTGATACCTCTAATGATAATAAGAAAAAGAAAAAAAATCAAAGAATAAAATTAGAGTGATCACTCGTTAATTATATTATTTTATTGTCTAAAAAAAGAGAGGATAATTTTATCTTGTTCACCTTCTTTTATGCCTACCATGCATCCAAAAATTGGTGTATTCCTTATACACCACTTGCAATTCAGTCTAACAAAATAATTTAATTTCGAGAAGCATGTTCAATCATGGTAATGGTTATTGTCTTAATTTCCTCAGTATCCCTCTTGAAGAAAAGAAAACCATCATAGAAAATTTTGATAGTTTCATCAAAAAATGGCTACAGTATCGAAGGAGATAACGTACCGAAAGTTACAACAATTTCAAGTTAAGTTACAATTTTTTTGAAGTGTAAGTTACAACTTTTAAATGTCAAGTTACAACTCAAAAAATATAAGTTACAACTGCTCAGGGAAAATTCACAATCGATCATATTTATCTATGATTGATCATGGATTCTTTAGTCGATCTTAAATTTTTCCTAAGCAGTTATAACTTCTTCTTTTTGAGTTGTAACTTTACCATAAAAATAGTTACCTTCGATACGGTTTTGAAAGTGATACCATAGAGTTTCCCGTTTCATCGACTCGTCTTGTGAATTCTGATCATCATTCTTCCAATTGAATGTGTTCTGTCTAATGAAACCATCATCAAAATCCGACAGTTTTCCATTTTGAACATTAAAGTTTTTTTTTTTTGAACTGTTGATCTTGTATTCATTCATCTATTTAAGAAAGAAATCCAGTCAACAGATAATAAACTCCCTAATTCTCGGGTGTGGAAAACAACCCAATCCAGGGGGAGTGATTGAGATAAGCATTTCTTAGTGATCCAGTGTGCAGGTTTGTTTGTAGTTCTAGGAGTATTAGCACATTCTCTTATATCGTCCATAAACGCTGCAATTTTCCTTGCAGGAGCTTCCTCTGTCACGCTGAAGTTGATGATACTTGCATTATTGCTCTCGATCGTGGCATTCTGCATCTGCTGGGTTGTAACCATAACGCAAGCTTCTCGTACTGCAGCTGCCTCCGAGTGTTGGCTCGAGACTCGTGGATGATCATTGCTCGTCCATCCACCGCTTCCCCCAGATGGTTTCTGATAATTATCCCTATTGAAGCCTTCTGTCCTTGGCTGAGGAAGGTGCCGTCACAATTTATCTTGAAAGAGCCTTAAAAATGGAAGGGGCCAGGCTACTGGAATAATTGCTTGGGTATTGGAAAATTCACCATCATGGAATTCACTGGCCTTGCTTGCCCAAATCTCTCCCTAAGTGGCTTGAGCTTGGCATATTGTGGTGATGGGGTTTGGCTCTTTTTGTTTTGAATACAACATCATTTCTGTTCTTCGATATGATCCATCCCACTGAGGCAGCTTTACTAAGCAACTGGAGTCCCTGTTTGGAGTTCTTCATGCTTTCTAATAAATGCATAAAAAAGAACAATATGGAGTCGAACAGGTGGACAAAGAAGGTGGTGCCACCAATCTGTTTACTCCTTTATAATGTGTAATAGTTCTTGAAAAAAAATCACTTAATTGAAACCCTGGTTGAGTGCCACATAATTTATAGACTCATATGGAAGTTTGTTTCAAATCTAATACAGAAGTTCCCTGACCTGAATAAATCCTTGAATTTATGTTTTGCAATAAAGTTGATTCATCACCACTACCCTGCATCACAAAGGTACATGTTGATCATCATCACAGTTTTTGCTCTGTACCACACCTTCGCCAGATGGTTTGAACTCTGTATGAGGCCTTTTTCTTAGTAGCGAATAGCGATGTTTACCACAATAAGCCATGTGTTTATTGCGTCATTTGGGAAGAATATGAGTCATGAGATGTCAAAAATATGATACCCCTAACTATACCCAAGTAATTTGGAGTGATTACAAGAATAGAAGCCTTTTTTATTTTGTGAAAGCTGAAGATAGACTATCCAAATAGGAAACACCGGACTAGTACACGAAGCTTCTGCTTGTGACGAAATCTAGAAGAGAGCCAGAGAGGTATGTGGTAATGATTGACATCTCATAGGTGCATGTGTGCTACATCACTAGATTGTCTTACAGTTGCAAAAGCACCCACAATACTAACGCAGATTACCTAGTGCAACATGTTTGCAAAAGAAGAATGCACTCAATTATTTGTTTTCGAAGCTCATCAGCAGTAGCTTCAGGTCTCAGTAACAAGGACACTGCTTTGAACCATTGTTGCTTCAAGGAATGAACCTTCCCAAAATTCCTGATAAATTTCACAAGTACAGAAAGAATGTAGGCTATGTTGAAAGCCATTGTTATGATAGCCTCACTTCAATTCAATTTGTGGAGCCAGAATTCCCCTGAAATTCCGGAAAACTTTTGTTGCTCTTATTATGTACATGAATCCTCTTCAAGATTAGCAAAGAACAAACACACACACATACCAAAACACAAAGATAATTTGCTTGCCCTTGTGCTATCCCAAGTAACCAAAAGGAATAGAAGCTGAAGTTAGACAACATTGCGTGTTACATAGCACATGAAAGAGATGACATCCTACAACACTTCAATTGTATGCTGCATTGTTGATTTGTTACCCCCTAAAAACGCAGGAAAGATGAGAGTACTGACACTCCTTTAAATTTGAGCAACATTCGGGCTGAAAATACCTGTATGGTGAAGAAACACAACAATACTGGCACGCTAAGCCTAGGAATGAATTTTTTAGCAGTCAATTAACGTTCTCTTTGGGCAAGTACCAGAGGGCATTCCAGAGGCAACTGTTTACTAGTTTCACAATTTTCTCATTGGCAAATCATCGAACACTCACTTTGCAAATATCTCAAGAACCCTAATTCTACGGCAAAAACAATAACTTTAGTGCAGATAACACAAACGGGTTAACAAATCAAACCCACAAACATGTTATTCAACTCAAACCCACAAACGTGTATCGATCGGATATCATTAAAAACGTGATCACAGAGATCATAACAACAAAAGAGTGTTCAATACAAGTACACTTCAAAAACAAAGAGAACCTACACGCTAACTTTGCAGAGACTCCAATGGAAGTACAAGTTCCTGAGCTACAGCCTCCTTCGACTTTGGCGCATTCCTTCCGATGACGGGAACAGCAACGAAAGTCTTGGTCTTGCTAATGGGTCTACTCTTTTCGAGCTGAACAAAGTCCCCAACTTTGAACTGGTTCTCGGGGTCGTGAGCTTGGTACTTCTTCTTCTTCCTCACTCTCCGCTTGTACTTTGGGTGCGGAGCTAGACGGACCACCTCGACGGCCACGGTCTTGTCGCTGGTGGCGCAGACCACTCGGCCTTGCAGTGACTTCATGGCTCGGATTGGTGGGAGGAAAATGGGGGATTGTGGGGATGGTGGAGAAGAAGAGGAAGGGGGTTTGGTGAATAGGGAAATTGGTGAGGAGCCATGAAGGAATGGGGTGGTGAGGCTGAGGGATTTGAACTGGCAGAGAGGAAGTTGGAGGAGAGGTGAGGTTAGGGACATTGTGTGACTGTCCTTAGACATTGGATAAGAGAGGAGTGAGCCTTTTATAGTGTATCGGGATTGGGCATTTTGAATGGCTTGGCTTCCTTGATAAAAAAAAATAATAATAATAAATTATACATATAACCCTCAAATTATAATTTTTATAATTTTTGTGTTAATTAAATTTCTGAATTTTTTTAGTCATTGAACATCTAAACTATCTAATCGTATTAATTGAGTCATTATGTCTGCATTCTTTAAATTTTTTAATAGAAAATGACGAAATGCATCACTTATAATTTTTTTGTGTGTGTCAATTTAACATCTGAACTTTTTAATTGTGTCAATTGAATTTTTTAGATTTTTTGTGTTATATAGTCACGTGAGTGACACACTCTAATAGCGGCAGATATGAAGACTTAATTAACATAATTAAAAAGTTTAGTAACTCAATTAACAAAAAATAAAAAAAAAAATCAAAAATTTAATTGATACAAAGATCGTAGTTTAAAAACCATATGTGTAGTTTACTAGGAAAAAAAAGGTTTGGCTCCCCTTAACGTCTTGAGTAATTATTGGGTGTGACACTTACACAACTTCAATATTAACACATGGTATAGTTGTTCTATGATCACTCAACAAGGTAAAATAGAACCTACACCTTCAAATAACCAATAGTCCATGCAAGATCTTAATCACCACATATTAAAAAAGTAGGGTTCACTTGCACACTTATTTGTTTATCATTAGATAGTTACATCATGTGATAATGATAACATGGTGTAACCATTACATTCAATATTTACTCTAACTTCTTAAGGATGTAGGCTTGTCCAGATTTTGACACGTAAGTACAATGTGGGGCCAATATGATGTGTCATGATTAAGGATTAGTCTTGAATTTTTCTAATGGTAATATCTGAATGTTAATGTATATAATGATAATGTGTTTGTCCTAAATCGATTAAAGTAAAAAAATTTATTATTCTCTTGTATTATAAATAGACCTCTTCATCTATATTATAGATCACGCCAAAATAATATATAAATGATATTCACTTTTTATTCTCTTTTTTCACAAATAATCAAATTTAAGTTTAAGACTTCGATATTAATAAAGGATTATGTCATGTTTCCATCATACAAATAAAACCTCAAACCAGAACTAAACTGCTGATATAATCTGGTCATTCAAACTAACTCGTGTGCATTTGCTTACAGGTGGTGCCGTGGTGATAGTGATGATGGTAGTGGTGACATGACTGTTGCTCAAACACGCAGAAAAAGGGGTCAATAAGTCGAGCTCATATGTTTACGATGGTCTATTTACTTCTACTTTTTGTGAATCTAGTCCAGATCTATGGAAGATGCAAAAGCCTAACCAATTTAGGGACAAGAGTGGAGGACAAAAAATAACTGGTAATTATGAGAATGTATCACCAGATCATTCACGCTAAAAGTTATCTGATTCTGATAGACATATTATTTAGTGGACATATCTCTTACTAGAATTATGCAGTAGATAGGTTCAGCAATATCCTGTTATACTTGGATACTTTTCAGGTTGATGTATTTGGTGAACATTATAAATAGCATTTGAGTTGGATTCTAATAATAAAGAGCCATCTCTTCCCAACAAATTACTCTGCTCCTAATTCTTCCTCAGTGATGGCTTTAAAAGTTATTCAAACCAGAGGACAAATGAGGTCATATTTGACTCTTTTTTTTTCGGTTATGGAGTTTACATATTTGTGTCGATTATTCCTTCAAATTCTGAGTCAACAACCAAAATTCGCGTTAGTTTAAGAACTTGTCTTATGAGCAACAATGATAGCTCACCTTAAAGGGTGTAAAAAATATTGAACTTGAAACTTTTCCTCACAAAATGAAAGACTTGACCAATAAAGAATTCCTTTTTAGTAATGTCAAATGGCATGACAGTTGATTTGGGCTTTTTAATTTGGTATTATGTCATTTGAGCCCCAATGAAGACTCAAAATATAATAAAAACTCTAAATAATACTCTTTTTTATTTAGTTTCATGTCATTTGTGTCTCAATAAAGACTCTAAATATAATAAAGACTCTAAATAATACGTTGTTATGTCATTTGAGATGAATATTTGATCAATAAATTTGGTGAGTATAGCATGTTATTTGCTATTAGGTGTCAACTTATCGTGTTCTGCGTAGTCATGGTCTTTGCTCTTCTTATCTTGTCTTTGATGTTTTTGTCCCATTACAAGTGTGGTAAAGATATATGTTCGTACCATTAAACTTACCCGTGCAAGTTTGGTCTTTGCTTTTCACCAACACAATGAAATCATCTTTTAATGCAAGAGAGCTGCTGAATTCAGCACCTCAGTGTTCCTAAGAACTTACGGAACACTTCCATTCTACATGCTGCTGACTAAGAAACATTTGTGATTGAGAACCTAGGTTCCCCTAGCACTCATCTGGGGTCATGATGTGTATAAATGTTGTTGCCTTTACTTCTGTATATGAAAACCTCAAACCACTACCTTCTTGTTGGGGGTGTAAACTGTAATTAGAATTAAGAGGACTGGGGTTGAAAGACGTTGTGCTTTAGAGGTGTGTTAAGGCTTGTGCTTCTTTGGGTACTCTGTTGTCCATCTGTGAGAGGGAATCCAGAGAAAGAGAGGGTTTCTGGGCTTGAGCTTCATTTTTATAGGATTAGATGTCCCAGTGCGGAGCTTATTGTGAAGCAGACAGTGAGTAGTAGTATGTTGAATGATGCCTCTACTGCTGCAGCCCTTCTGAGACTGGCTTTCCATGACTGTCAAGTGGATGTACTCTCTCTCTCTCTCACACACACACCCTCTCTGCATGTGTTCAATGTGATAGTTATTACAGTTTTTAGGTAACACTATTTCAAAGTGAAATATCAACAGCTGCCTGACAGTGTAAACTCTGCTAAGGATCAAAATTTCATTCTGTGAATAGTTTTGGTTAGCTTGGGAACACATTAGAAAAAGATGAAAAAAAAAAATTAAAATTTTGATTGTGAAACACATCAAAACATGAGAATTTGAATTTGTCATCACTGATTCTTTTTGTGTCTCCCTGAACATCTGGTAAATATCTTGCAGGGTTGTGATGGTTCAGTTCTTCTCAGGGTTTCAATTGGCTCGACACCAGAAACGCTTTCTGGCATGAATTTTGGACTAAGGAAGCTCAACATCATCAATGACATAAAGAGCTCTCTAGAAACAATTTGTCCCCAAACTGTTTCCTGTGCTGATATTGTCCAATTAGCTGCAAGGGAAGCCATATATTTGGTAAAATTTGGAAGCACACCCTTCAACACAAACATGCAAATATTTCTTTCTAAACACAAAAATCACTGCTGCTGCACTATTGCATGAAAAATAGATTATTTGTTTCAAAATGTACTGTATGCAAACTTAAATTGTAAATATATCTCTGAAAGCATGTTTTTTCAAGTGAGCTTAATTACACAGAATGTTATGATGGTTTTAATAGTTTGTTACCAATATATAGGTTGAGAGTTGAGTGGTGGACACTGGTGGCCGGTTTAGCTTTGTATTCACACCTGAATATTTGTGTTTTCAGACAGGAGGACCTTATTTAGAGATTTTGTCTGGAAGAAGAGATGCTATGTCTGTAAGTAAGCAGAGAGCCGATAAAGAGCTTCCAGCAGCTGATATCTCTGTTGATGAATTCATTGGATTTTTCTCCCAAAAGAACATTAGCCTCGAAGTTGGGGTTGCCTTGACTGGTACAAGCTTATGTGCATTAATCCTATATATGTGAAACAGATAAAAAAACAAGTACTCAATACATTCTAAAATGTCCTATTACCAGTGGCAAACTCCACGAGATGGACCAGATATACAGAAATGAAGCATTTTAGTGATCTGAAATATCATTTTCTTTTGTTCTTCTTATTGGGTAATCTTGATGCAGGGGCTCATAGCCTAGGCATAGGCCATTGCCAAAACTTCGAGAAGCAGCTGCAGCCGGTAATAGATCCCACATTGTCACCTTCCTTAACAGTCATGCTACAGATGATCTGCAGCAGTCCATCTCTATCAGACGAGACTTTCATGACAAATGATGCCACTACCTTCTTATTCGATAACTGCTATTTCATTGACATCCTAAATGGGAGAGAACATTTGAAGATTGATTCTGAGATTTCAAGAGATCAGAGGACACTGCCTTATGTGGTTGCGTTTGCAAAGAACCAGAAGTGGTTTTTTAATAGTTTCTTGTCTGGATTTATGAAGCTCTCAAGCCACAAGGTTCTAGTGGGAGAGGAGGGAGAAATAAGGAGGGAATGTAGGTTTGTAAACAGTTACTAGACAGATTATGTGCTCTTTTGATTGACCTTTGTCGTGTTCCCACTATGTATTATCAATCATAGTGCTAATCAGTTTGATGCTACCTGTGGTTAGTGAATAGTAATATCAGCATCACAACAATCAGGGTACTCATACAACTGCAATTTCTTTCTTTTTTTTCTTTCATAAATATCGCTCAGAAATTTCGTATGACTATGGCTGTAAGAGAATTCAGGTTATGCTCATCCATTGTAGAAAATAAATTGAACACAATTGAATTTTTATGTTCTTTTAGAATCCAAGCCAAGTTTGAGCAATGTGCCACTCAACTCGGCATAATCGAATAAGATTCAATACTCTAACATCCTAGAAAAAAAAATAGCAAAATAACAATCATGGTTCAATGGGTAAGGTATGTTTTCTAAATCAAGACGTTGAAGGCTCAAGCTTTATTGGACTCGAATTTGAACTCTGTATCCAGAAAAAAATACTGAACTTAGAAAGAATGAAAGTTCAGTAACCAAGGACCAGTGTAACTTAAAGGAAACCTGGAGGCTGCCACTGCCAATCTTCTAAATGGCCAAATTTGTCTAAATAAGCACAAAGTGTTCGAACAATGTCTTCAAAGAGGCCTTCCTTTTTTTTTTTTTTTTTTTCTGTTGACAAAGGAGCAAGAGATGTCCTACTCTGTGGGAGAATAGACAAGGGTACATTCACCATTTCACAATTAATCAAGGAGATAAGCTTATCCAACCGTATCCACGTGGCACCTCCTATATGAGACTCCATTATCTCTCCAAGAAACGCAGTCAGCCATGTGGCAAGTCAAGGTCCATGCAATGAGAAAAAAAAAACCACCGATATTTTGTAGCTTGGTCAGGAAGAGTTAAATGTCATGACCATCTTGGGGTGCCTGCAAATGTTTGTAGTGCTATACAAGCACTACAATGTTGTAGGTTGCATTCTTTATTGTAAAAATTGGTCAAAAATCCACTCAATTTTATTAAACTTGTCAATTATCTGACGAGCAAAGGTTCAACTGCAGACACTGTTTTAGCATGTGTAAGAACAAGTTTTAAGTGGGCAGCAGTGTAATTATGTATGATAATTGAAACGTACATTAAACCCTTGGCATATATATATATATATTGTGGTCAACACCAACACTAATTAAGAAAAAAAAAATACATACAGTCGATATAACTTGATAATAATGTATTTAAGTTTAGGCCCCACCAGAGCCAAAACCCTCTATACTCGCATAAGGCCGCCCAAGGGATGAGGGACCCTGACGACTCTGATGAAGAAAAATTCACCGGCAGTGGAGACGGATCATGTATTGCAACAGGTGAGTGGTGGGTGTAGAAAGGCGTGGGAGACCATAATTCGAGGACAAAGGCAAACACAGAGAGAAATACAAAATCAACAAAAAGGCTTTGTCCTTTATAATGGACATAACCGCAGCAAAGATGAACCACTCTAATCGTTGTCTTCATATTGCATCATTTATATATATACAGCATACACGCCCATACTCTCACATATGAACACTCGCTGGTCAAATCGAGGTAAAGAAACATCTACTGCTTTGGAGGGTTATAAGAAAGGACCCCAAATACGGTTTGAACGACGGCGAGGTACATACCAACAACCGTGAAGGTGAAAGATATGAGATTGGTTGGTGAAGGGAAATAGGTACGCATCAGCAATACTCTCCATTTATTCCATGGATAGCTTGTATGGATGTCAATATCCCGAATTACTTTATGAAGAGGAAAGTTATGTTGCTCCTCATAGGCAACCCCCAGGGAGAGAGTATTTAGTTCTGCTGCTTCTGCAAACACTTGTTCATGAGTGGCCAGTGTATGATTGAGAATTCCTCTGTCGCAGAGAGCCTCAACATCTTCTGGGGACTGTACGAGTCCAGCCAAGAACGCAATATAATATGAAAAATCTGATGGCACGCTTCGGTTGCATTGTTCGTATGCTACCAGATTTCGAAAATGGAAACAGTGTCGTGGTTGATTACAAGGGAGGGTATTTCTAACACTGCCGTGCTTGGGTCAAAATTGATGTTTAGGAGGCCATAGTACCCTTTTTTGAGTCTGATTCCATAGTTCTGGAGTTCGTTGGTACTCTTTACTAAACACCTCCCGTCCCATGGCAAATTGATGTCAGAGATGGCTACAGAACAATTGTGAGACATGGGACTAAAGGTCGAGTGAATAAAAGCAAGTAAATGTGTAGGTTTTTTGTCAAATGGGAGAGACCATTCATGTGCATTGGGAACTAAAGGAGCCAGAAAGTTTGCTGCCAATTTGGTCAGAGGTGGTTGTGATTCATTACCTGAGCTAGTAAGATCATATAATGCTTCGAGTACGAAAAATGGTAATTGGTTCCCAAACTTGATTAAATCCAACCTAATCGCAGGCAGCATCCATCTTGCCCTAAAGATGGGGTCATCCACAACAATACCCTGCAGCAACCAAGAGAAACGATATAAGAGAGAGAGAGAGAGAGAGAGAGAGAGATCTTAATTAATTACCTGTTTAGCATAGCGAAATAGCTCTAGGATGAAGCAAGCATCAAGGGCCAACATCAACCCAAAATCAGAGTCTGTCATGCCATAAGTATGGGGATAGCAAGACTTTGCTTTGTGTGCCAAATTGTCTGCTTTTCTTTTGATTTCGTTATCTATGTCACGTGATCCGTATAGTTGTTCCGAGAGGCGCAAATAGAACCGGAGTTTATCCTGTATCATCGGTAGCAGCCTCTCGTCGGAGTGATGAACTGGGCCGATTGAGACTAGCCTAGGCTCATAGGCTTGTGGGTGTAGTTGACGCATGTTCTTAGGAGCTTCGGAGATGATGAACGGTGGTAGATCAGGCCAGTCCTGAGAGATAGGCCTTTCGGTGCCATGGCCCTCGTTTATGAGCTCTTGGACATGATTACCCAAAGGACCACCTCTCATGTTTTCTACCTTTATCTCTTACTGCAGTATGTGTTTCAGGCATTTGGCCATCTATTTATGCTGGGCAAAAGTGGGCCGTTTGGTAGGTTCATCATTTTGACTTATACGGGGGAGAGTCTTAGGTACTGAAATACATTTTTTTATCTTTATTTTTTATCAATAAATATACACCACTTATCTACTTCTTTATTTTTTTTATTTTTTTATCATCCAATTTAAAATTAACGGTTCAAATCATTTATCAGCACACAATTAGAAAGACACTGTAGCCATGCACATAAGGAAAGGGTGTCTATAGATCGGATTATTCACGGGTCTTATTATTCAATCCAAAAAAATGAGTCTAAAATCTGATAAGCTCGATAATTAATCAATCTGAATCTAAATTTAATATCCTTAAAAAAAAAAAAAAAAAAAGGTTTTTCATTACTTGGTACAAAACCTAGTCCAATGACCTGTCCATAAAAACCGTTAAAACCCGCCCGTTCAAACCGAACCGCCCAGCCCGTACAACTTTGAAAAAAAGTTTGAGATGTAAGTGAGAAAAAATTAAGTATATTAAATTTAATTTATATCTTGTCTTTGGCTCCTATCTTGCACATGGGTCTTTAGCACATGGTTGCTTCTTTCTCCTCATGTGACAGTGACTTGAATACTTGCACCGCTGTACATGCAGCATGCTTTGGAGTTTTGGTTGGCAACAATTAAACAAGGATAAATACAAGAGGAATGAGGGAGGTTACGTGGATTTAAAAAATAGATTTAAAAATTAATTTGATAATTAGAATCATTGATTTTACTATGAGTTATAATATTTGTTGGGACCTACTACCTATTCAATAGTTGAAATTATCAAGTCTAATTTTTAAGTTCATTTAACATTATTATAAAAATAATATAGTATTTTATGTATATTTGACCCCAACTATGCGACTAACGGCCGTAAATAAACTGTTACTTTTTATTATATAATTTATAGATAAAGATAATTATATTTCATTTCAATCCACACCACATTTGCAAATTATAATTGCTCTCATTTTATTCTGAAAATCTCATTTACTCTTATTTGTTTCGGTTCAAAAAAAAAAAAAAAAACTCTCATATGCTCTCAACTCTTATCTCTCAAGTGTTCTGAAGTCTCAACTGTCTTAAGATTAAAAACCGTCAAGTGCTCTTATTTGGTAAGAAAGTTTTTCTTCTACATAATTGAAGTACTTATTTTATTTTTATAATTTAATTTATATAATGAATTTATCTCATTCACTAAATATTTTTTATAACAAAATTCTTAAGTCAAATCATGATAATAAGAACATCGAGGAAAGTGAAAGAGATGATCCATTTTCAACCCTTGAAAAAGATTCTATTGGGGATGAACCATCTAATTAATTAAAGACAGAAGTTCAAGGTCTCAGATTACTTTGAGAAAATTCAAATTAAAGATTCTACTAAGGTCATTAAATTAGAAAAAAAGTCATGTTTAATTATTGTAAAAAAATTTACTGGAGGCTCTAAAAATGAAACTAGTCATTTAAACAGACACTTAAAGACATGTTTATCAAAAAGTCAAACTGATATTAGACAAATAATGTTATCACAATTTATTAGTACCAGTGCACTAAACACTTTTAGTTGTGAACTGAAATTTAAAAGAAAAACAATTGTTAGATGGATTGTTGTAAGAAATCTTCTCTTCATTCTTGTAGACGATGCTGAATTTGAAAAAATATTACAAAGTAATTTTAATTCTTCTTTTCAAAAGTTTTCTCGTCAAACATGTCAAAAAGATGTTATTAAATATTATATACAAGAAAAAAATAATTTAATTGCTCATTTTGATAATCTTAAAAATAAAATTTGTCTAACTTCTGATATTTAGATTTTCAGCCAACAATTAGAATATTTGTGTATAATTACTTATTTTATTGATGATAATTGGATTATGTAAAAAAAAATTATTACTTTTATAAGGATTGGAGATAATCATAGCGCACAAATTATTTTTAAAATTATTTATAATCAGTTATAAATTTATTGTATTTAAAACAAATTTTTTTTTCTATTATTTTAAACAATGCAACAAATAATAGAGGGGTTGAAAGTTATTTAAAATATTATTTAATTTTACCATGTGAAGATACTTTTTTTTATATTAAATGTATATTTTATATCATAAATCTCATAGTACAAAATGATATTTATGATATTAAATTTATAATTAATAAAATTAGATATATTATTTATCATATCATAAGATCTGAAAATAGACTTAAAAGAGATTTAGAACTATGATATTAGATTTGTATTGTTTAAAGTTATGCTCAAACTTTTATAATATTGCAAATTGCAATGGGGGCAATACCCAAAAACTTTCACAATTCTATATGCACCCTAAAACTTTTTAGAATTGCTGTTGCCAGCTCCTCCCTGCATGCTCATCAACAACTTTGTCAAGTAGTCGTGTTTAAATTCTATTGCACGAAGCAATGTTATAGGAACTGGACTGGTCATCGAACCGGCAAGGGGACCGGATTAATGGTTCACTGGTTCAACCGTTGGGTCAACTAATCGGACCGGTTATATAATAAAAAAATAAAAAAATATATATATAATAATTATAAAACTTAATAATTTAGCTAAAAAATATAAAATATGTATAAAATACATAAAATTTGCCATAAAATTAATGAAATTAAGTAACAAAGTGGGGGTTATTGTATTTTAAAGCAAAGAAAAGAGTTCAAGTAAATTATAAAAAAAAAAAGGGTGTCATTTATAATTTTTCTAAGAATAAGGTTAAAAAAATCAGCTATTTACTGATTTAGGGCAAAAAAAATTATTTATGTAATTTAATTTTTAAATAGATATTAAATCGTCCGATTTTTATAAATCGGCAGTTCACAATTTTTGTTAAAAATCGGCTAATTTTTCGATTTTTAGCGAGTTCGCTTCCTTAACCAGTTCAACTAAGGAACCGGACCGGTTAAGGTCCCGGCTCACGGTTAAACCGGTCCGATCGATCGATCCGATTCTGATAACACTAGCACGAAGCACTTTCCTTAGTATTTGAATAATTGTGGCCGACGTCATTGTACTCACGTCATCACGAAGTAGCAGCTGCCATTTATTTAAATAATCACGTTTAATTTAGGGTTTCTTGGTTTCTTCTTGCATCGGTAGATGAATGATTGTGGCCGACGTCATTGTACTCACGTCATCACGAAGTAGCAGCTGTCATTTATTTAAATAATCACGTTTAATTTAGGGTTTCTTGGTTTCTTCTTGCATCGGTAGATGAATGATTGAGAGCATATATATTTATTAGTTATTGAATGTGTTTTAAGACAAGGAATATGTCAATTTTAAATATATTTATAATCACACTTAAAATTAAATCATAAATATAGAGGAAAGAAAAAATAATTTAAATACTGGTTGTAATAAGAGTAACTGGGGGTTGTAATAGTGGGTGACAATAGTGGTGGTGAGAGACGGTGATGGTTGTAATGGACGATAACGTCTGTGGTGGTGCCAGTTGTGAATAACAACAGTGATGGTGATGGTGGATTATGGGTGACCATGGTGGTGGTGGGTGTGAGTTGTAATGGGTCACAACAGTTACTTGTAGGTGATAGCGGTGATGATGGGTGATGACGAATGACAGTGGTGGTGGGAGTAGGTAATAGTGGGTGACGGCGGTAGTGGGTGACGACGGGTGGTGATGGGTTATGATAGTTCGTGGCAGTGGACAACGATGGTGGTAGGATGATAGTGGTAGTGATAATAAATATAATAATGAGATGATAAGGGTAATGGGTGGTGGTGGTGGGCGGCAATAATAGTAATCGGTGGTGGGTGACAACAATGGTGATGGTGGTGGGTGGTGGCAATGACGGTGACGATGGGGTGGTTGTGGCAAAGATAGTGGTGATGGTGGGGCAGCGGTGATGGTGGTGGTGAAGTGGCGTCGACAACGATGGTGGTGGTAATGGTGGGGTGGCGACGGCAACAGCAACAACGATGGGTGGTAAAGTGTTTTGTAGAGAAGTAATTTTAAAAAAGTAAAATTATTTTTTTTAACTTTTACTTGCTTATTTAAGTGATAAAACTATTTTTGACTTATTTAGAAAAAATTAAAATAAGTTGTTTAAAACACTACTTTTTTTTTTGAAAGTGTTTATGAGAAGTCATAAATTTTAAAAGTACTTTTGAAAAATCACCTCAACACACCTTTAGGGTGCTTATTTTTTTTTATTAAACCTGGAGAGTTAATATTAATTATCGGATTAATTTTAAAATAAAATTTAAAATGACCTCAATCACAAAAAATAAAAGTTATTTTTTATGTTGTACTTTATTATATAAATATATATTAGTAGCTGTCATTTATTTAAATAAGCACGTTTAATTTTGGGTTTCTTCGTTTCTTCTTGCACCGGTAGGTGAATGATGAGTGGATATTTATGTGTGTATATACACAAGCACTGTGCACCGATAACCATTGCCACTTAGAGTGTGTTTGTTTTAGGTATTAAGAGGATGAATTGAACTAATTTAATTCAGTAATAATATCTATACTACTTATAAATGTCGAACATATGTAAAAAAAATTTGATTACTATTTAATAATGTTAAGTCAATCAAACCTCATATATCATTATTAATGTTATCATTTTTTCTTCCATGTCCTATCTATATCGATATTTTTCAGAAAAAATTTTGATTTTCTATTTCATCCCTATTCAATAACGTTTAGTCAATCATGCACCGCATATCCTTGTTAATGTCATCATTTTTTCTGTCAGGTCTCACAAAGCATATGGAGCTAGACAAGCCATGGTTAAGGCTGGAATTGCTTCATCCTTGCTTGAATTGACACTTCTAGGTAGCACATTAGCACAGAACAGGGAATCAAGGATCTTGGAGTGTTTGACGGTAGATAAAGGTAAACATGTTCCAAAAAAATTTGGTGGAGGGCTGAGTGCCATAGTTTCCACTCCAATATGTGGGTCCTCGTCGTCGGCTGTACACCCAAATCATCAATTTAAAGAGTATTTGGGGAAGGAAGATGACAAGATGAGTGAAAAGAAAAAAACAGTGAAAAATTTAGTTCAACAGAGCTTGCATAACAACATGAGGAGGACGGTGAAGAGGGCCAATCAGATTTATTGTTTTGGGTGATGGTGGTAGGCTAATTTTTAATTGTTTTGGGTAGTGGGTGGTGGTGATGGTGGTGGGGATGGTGGGCAAGTGTAAGTGGTGGTGATATTGGTGGAGGTTGGTGGCGATGTTTGGTGGTGGGTTAGTCTTTTTACTGTTTGGGTGGTGGGTGATGGTGGTGGGAACAGTGGGTGAATGTGGTGAGTTAGTTTTTTACTATTTTAGGTAGTGAGTTAGTTTTTTACTTTTTTGAGTGCTAGGTGATGGTGGTGGGTGGTAAGCTAATGTTTTACTATTTTAGGTGGTGGTGGCGACGATGGTTGGTGGTGGTGCTGACGGTGGGTGAGTATGGGTGGTGGTGATGTTGGTAGTGATTGGTGGCGGTGGGGATGGTTGGTGAGTGTGAATAGTGGATTAGTTTTTTATTATTTTGCGTGGTGGTGGTGATTGGCGGCAATGTTTGGTGATGGACTAATTTTTTACTGTTTTGGGCGATGGGTGATGGTGGTGGGTGGTAGACTGATTTTTTTACTGTTTTGAGTGATGAGTGGTGGTGGTGATGATTGTGGTTGGTGATGGTGGGGATGGTGGGAGGTGGTAATGTTGGTGGTGGATTATGGTAGTGGGTGGTGGTTAGCAGCAAAGTTTGGTGGTGGGTTAGTTGTTTTACTGTTTTAGATGGTGAGTTAGATTTTTACAATTTTGTGTGGTAGGTTAATTTTTTTTTTCTATTTTGGTTGGTGAGTGGTGGTGGTTGGCAATGATGGTGGGTGGCAAGTGGTGTTGGTTGGCGGCAATGGTGGGTGGTGATGATTGGCAACAATGATGGGTGGTGGTTGGCGATGGGCAGTGTTTAGTGTGAGTGGGGTGATGGGTGCTGGTGGTGGGTTAGTTTCCCAGTTTTGGTTGGTGGGTTGTGGTGGTTGGCGATGATAGTAGGTGATGGAAGTGGCGTTTGGTGGGTAGTTGCAATGGGTGGTGGTGGCGATGAAGGGTGGTGATGGTGGTGGGTAATTACTAAGTGGCGGTGGTTGTGGGTGGTGGCTGGTGGCAATAGTGTGCGGTTGACGTGTGATGGTGGGGGGTAGAATTTGGTGGTGGAAAGCGTCGACGGTGGTGGTTGGTGGATGTTGTTGGTGGCAATGACAGTGGTGGTTGGTGGCAGTGGTGATGATGGTGGATGGTGGTGGTTGGCGATAGTAGTGGGTGACAAGAGGTGATGGGTGTCAGGGGATGGTGGTGTGTGATGGCAGTGGCAATGGGTGGTAGTGGTTGCAGGTGGTGGTGGCGGGTGTTAGCGGGGGGGGGGGGGGGTGCTTGTTAGTGACGGTGGTGGTTAGTGGTGGTAGTGGCAGGTGGTGGTGGTGGTACAGTAAAAAACTAACTCACCACTAAACATCGGCACCAACCACCACCGACACTCACCCAGCGTCCCCACCATCGCCAACCACCGTCATCACCACCACCACCCACCATTCAAAACAATAAAATACTAGTCTACCATTTACCACCATCACTCACCACCCAAAATAATAAAAAACTAACCCACCACCCAAAATAGTAAAAAATTAACTCACCACCAAACATCGCCGCAAATCACTACCAACATTCACGCACTGTCCCCACCACCATCAACCACTGTCGCCACCACCACCACCCACTACCCAAAACAGTAATCTTAAAGATAACAAGTGTCGCATCTTGCCTAGTAATCTATCTTCTTCGTTTTCATTTGTTGTCTTTCTATTTCTGAAATTATTTACCACGTATTATTCTACAACAATATCTAGGGCTTGTTTGGTTATCGTATTATACAAAGAGGGGATTAGATTATTAATCACGTATAAGTGGAAAAAAATCCAAGATTAAATGAGAGATAAGAATACCTTACATTCCTATCCCCCATTTGGTACACACCAGACTAAGAGTTGGATAACAGTAATTCAATCCAATATTATGTTTGGTTGGTTCATATATGTAATGGTATTAATATTGCATTGACCAAAATGGCCTCAATTGAAAAAAATAATTTCCTGTTTAATGGATATTCCATGAGACTAAATTAATAAGTTCACCTTATCACCAGCAATGTCGACTCACAAATGTAAAATTTTGTTTTTAATTTTTTTTTTCTGGTCAGCAAATTTTGTTTTTATTCAATACACATAAATGATTTGTTTTTTTTTTTTGAACTAGAAACTAACATTTCATTAAGATAACAGACCATACATACAATCAAAAGAAAGAATGTGTCCCAACTCTGCAGGTGGGTTACAAACCCAATCCTTCGGGAGAGAAGAGGACATTGCTACAACTTTAGAATTGATCACCCAAGTGCAGGTTATCGCGAAGTAATATAATACTCGGAAGTCCGAGGTCGAACCACAGGGAATTGTAACAAAAAGCAATCACAGAAATATCAAAGAAAATTTGAGAGACAATTTGTGTAAAAAAAAAATTGTTGAGTTGAAAATATTGATTGGAGATATTTAAACAATATAATAAAAATATTAGAGTATCAGGTACTCCCTCTCAATTGCATACAATAATGATTCAAGACCCAAATCTTCACTTGAGACAAGAATTAAATGTCGGTTGATTCGAGTAACAAATCAAGTAAGAAAATTAGATGTTATAATCAAAAGATTATTCAAGAACCTGAATAATCATCAAATTATATTATTTTATGAAATAATAATAAATACCTCAAGCGTGGAATAACTAGTTATTTACTCGCAGGGAAATTCAAGCAATCAATGTACATGGTACAACGATTCAAAGATTTTTACAGAAAAAAAATTTGCTAAGAAATCAGAAGTTAAATTAACAAAACATCATAAATCATTAAGCACAGAGTCAATAACAGTACCATACTTCGTTGAGAGGTTTTCCCCTAGCCCTAACTTAGCCTTCTAGCCGGACATAACGAACTAAAACAAAAATAAAAAGATGGGAAAAAGAATAATAATAATCTCTAAATGAGAACCCCTATTTATACTAATAATAAATCCTAAGTACAGGTTGAAAGGAATTCTTTTCCAAAAAAAAAGTTTTGTAAGGTTAAATCCCGTGCATAAAATCTTTGGGATACGGGTACAAAATTTGTCCAAACTTCGAGCTTGAATTTCTCATATTTAGAGGTTGAATCACAAAATTTTGTGAAAGACACTTTTGTAGCCCTTGAAGTCTTCTTTTTAACCTCCAAAAATAAAGTAAATTGGATATCAGAGTCAAAAGTTATGACCAAAATACTGAAAACGTGTCAAATCCTTTTCTTCTTGGACACTTTCCTAATCCAACTCTAAATGTGTTTTCTTCCAACTTGGACTCTTATAAGGATTAAATTACTGTCATATCTTCAAGTCTTTCAATCTCAATCTTTAATCTTCAATCCTTATCAATTGTGATTCTTCCTTTAGTAATTGTTTCACTTACATTATCCATTATTACTTTAAATCAACTAATTTACCTGCAAAATAAATCAAACAATTAGAAAAAGTATCAAACTACAAAATCAAGGAATTTAACACATTTAATCACAAATGATAAGCAATTAACCAATCATTAAATATAATAAAATAACAATTTTGATGGTTAATCACACCCTCCAACCTGAATATTACTAGTCTCTGGTAATACATGGATCCTAAAATCTAAAAACTAAAAACAAAACAACCTAATAAAATAAAACACAAAGCCACTTTCGTAGGACTCACGATTGCATTTAGCATATGCAACAAGTCTTTAAACCCCTAGGTTCCCCCTAGTGGACGAGTATAGTCTCGTGAGGATTTTCAAAAATGATACCCACAAACATCACCCTGTGATCAAATATCTGAATAATAATTTTATAACACAAATTGCTACCACAATATACAAATTCAAAGTTACAAGCTTTTTTATAAGCATATGTAAAACAAAATATAGAACTTACACGCTATATAAATGTATGCACTTATCATGTTCCCATATAAACTCGTGTGTAGTGTGAATTTACTATACCAAGTCAATAATTTATCTGGTAATCACCTCAACAACTATCAACTATTCGTCTCAATGCCAAATCTCACTATATAATTCGCTCATGAAAAATTCTCTTAGATTATAGTGACTAATCCCTCAAATATCACATGTAAGAAGAAGATATTTAAATCAAAACAAAATAATGCTCACATGTCTAAAAAAAAAAACGTAATCCAAAAGAAAAAGATTTGATATAGTCTCATGAAAGGAAATAAACACACAATATATAAACAATCACCATTCTTTTCCTTATTCACACGAGTCATGCATCCACCAATACACTCTTGAAATCAGATAGGACTTTATTTAAAGTTGTAATGGGGCCTTGGGATTAGGGTTTTGAAATGAATAATTTTCAGGAGTTCAAAAAACTATCTTGAGAGAACATGTGCATTATACAACCAATCTTCTTTCCATAACCTTTCACTCTTTACCCTTTAGAAGCATAATTTACAACACTTGCTCATATATTTTTTTCAACTCATGATTGCTATTTTTCTCTTTTATTTTTTTTAGCAAAAGACAATTGAATGTATTTACTTTTTTTTCCAGCAAAACATATAATGCAAGTATCCACAAGTATGCAAAATTTTTTTTTTTTCATCTTTTCTCAACCAACATCTCTCAAATTACATAAACAATAAAAATCTCAATCTCGGGATAACCAATGGTAAAGAATATTATATTTTTTTCATTGGCTTGGTTATTATACGTTGGGTATAAGAAATAAAATTTTCTTTTATAGGCTCAATCATGGTTTCTAGGGATAACAATATTCAAATAATAAGGCTTAGGCTCAAATAATATCAAAGATGACCTAAAATCATATCTCAAGATTTTTTGATAACACACTTCTCATACAAATATTTTAAAGTCAAGTAATCATTCATAATATGAGTGTTCACCAAAACAAAAATAATTAGACTATTGAAGGAAATTAGCTGAATAAAAATATTTTTTATTGAGTAAATGTAAATAACCCTTCAAGAAAGATTGTA